TTTCGTAATGTTGTGATTTATGAATCAAAAACCAATATGCACTACTATTCTTGATATAACCAATGAAAATATAATTAACGGTTTTAGGATCTATCTCAGTCTTTTGAAGACTAGGAATAACCACTTTAGCTAAACACCCCCACACTTTAAGTATTTGTAGGATGGTACTCTCCCATATCACATTTCATAAGGTGTTTGATTCATTTTCTTTCAGGATACTTCATTTAAAACATAATTAGCAGAAAGTATTGCTTCCCCTTACAAGTTTTGAGGTAATCCAGAACTTATTAACATGACATTTATCATTTCTTTTAAAGTCCTATTTTTCCTTTCAACAATTCTATTTTGTTGAAGTGAGTAAGGAGCGGTGGTTTGATGAATTATTCTATGTTCTTTACAAAACTCATCATAAGGTGATTCATTTTCACCACCTTTATCACTTTTAAGTTTTTTAATTTTCTTACCAAGTTGATTTTCAACTTCATTCTTGTATTGAATGAAAGTTTCCAAAACTTCATCATTGGTTCAAATTAAATAAACATAACTATATCTCCTATAGTCATCTATAAAAGTAATAAAATATTTTTTCCTACCTCTAATTTGAATTGATTTAAAATCACAAATGTCACTATGAATTAATTCAAGTGGCTCCGTACTTCTTTAATTGTATGGAAATGAGTTTTGGACAATTTTGTCTCAACACAAATTTCACTTTTATGATTTAAATCAATATCAAATTTAAGTAAACATTTCATATTAATTAATCTACGTAAAGATCCATAATTAACATGTCCTACTCTACTATGCCACAAATTTAAAGACTCAAGCAAGTAAGAAGAAGATGTATTTTTATTAATAACAGAGGGTACAACAATTATTACATTCATTTTGAAAAGGCCATCAAACATGTAACATTTTCCTACATACATTCCATTTTTGGTAAGTACAAACTTGTCACTTTCAAAAACTAACCTAAACCCAATTTTACTCAACAAAGATTCAGAAAACAAGGTTCTTGCTAATGTCCGGTACATGTAGCACATTGTTGAGAGTGAGTTCCTTTTCAGATGTCATCTTTAGAATAATCTTTCCTTATCCTTCAACTTTGGAAGTTGAGGAGTTGCCCATAAAAAGTTGTTCACCGTTGTCCACTATAGAATAAGATGTGAACATCTTTTTATCGGCACAGATGTGGTGAGTAGCACCAGTGTCCACCCACCATTCTTTAAGATTTCCGACAAGGTTTGCCTTGGAAACAACTACAGGAAGATTTATGTCCTCAACACTATTAGAAATTTTATCTATTTCGGTCATATAAGCTTGAGCAGGCTTCTTGCTTGATCTTCTTTTGCCTTTGCTTTTATTATGGCAATCTTTAGCCCGACATCTCTCTTTGTCACAGACGTAACATTTGCTATTAAACTTGTACTTTTTAGTTTTTTCTCCTTTAGAGTTTTGTGAGGAATTTTCTCTAGAAAATTTCCGTTTCTTGGTTTTCGGAGCATGTTTCACCACATTTTCCTTTGATTCTATTGGATGCTTATCAGCCCACTTTTCTGAATTGCGGTTATCCTCCTTAATCCTCAAACGCACAATTAATTCTTCTAAAGTCATTTCTTTGCGCTTGTGTTTGAGATAGTTCTTGAATTCCTTCCAGTCTTGTGGTAATTTTTCAATTAAGGTAGCAACTTGGAATGATTCACTAAGAGACATGCCTTCTGTATGAATGTCATGTAAAATGAGTTGGAGATATTAAAATTAGCTGATCACAGTCTTAGAATCAACCATCACAAAATCCAGGAATTTGCCAACCACAAATTTCTTTGAGCCAGTATCTTATGTTTTGTATTTTTTCTCCAGAGACTCCCTAAGTTCCTTTGTCGTTTTGATAGGACTGTAGACGTTATATAATGTGTTGTCAAGTCCATTCAAGATGTAGTTCTTGCAGAGGAAATCAGAATGTTTTTAGGCATCGACTGCAGCAACCACTTGCCGGTCGATTTCATCCGCTTTCAGAGTAGGAGAATCCTCACGGAGAAAATGTGCCAAGTTGAAAGTAGTAAGATAGAACAGTATTTTTTCCTGCCATCTTTTAAAATCAGTTCTTGAGAACTTCTCTAACTTCTCACCGTAATTGACTGGCACAATCACAACAAGAGGAAGGGTTGGAGCAATTGTAGCCACCACACCAATACTTGTTTAACAGTAGCCATAATTCTAAATTATAAAACAGAATTATAATTAGAATTTTATACTACACAGAAAATTTAAACCAAAATCACAAAATTAAATTCTGTAAAAATAAAATAAACAAGAATTGTAACTTTTATTTCCAATTAATTTGAAAATAAAATAAAATTTTATTTAAACAAATTAATTCCACACAGAAAAATATTTCTGTAACACTTCAAAAATTAAAATACTGAAAACATAATTTTAATTAATGAACACTCAGAAATTATTTCTAAAAATCAAAATTAATTTTTGACCAACTTCACAAATAAATATTCTGAATTGTTAATGACTACCAGTATATTACTACTAGTTGTCAAAGAAAATAAACAGTATATTACTACTATTTGTCAAGCAGTATATTACTACTATTTGTTTTTCTAACCAGAATATTATTTTTTAAAACCACAGAAAATAATTTCTATAAGAAGAAGAAAGAGAAAATGAAATAAACGAAAAATTCTGTATAAACAGAATAATTCAAATCTATCTTAAGATTGTTGGAACAATCTTTTGTGTAAAAATAAATAATTTGAAACCAAATCAAACAAGTAAAATAAATTACTTACAGAATTTATTTACCGATGTGAATTAGTACAAAAAGATCAAGTCGAGTGTATGACACTCTGTCCTTAAGACAGATTCACCCCGCTTCGATGCTTACGGATTAATGGCGTCTATCTCCCAGGATACAATGATCTTTCCACAAATTGTAGTAGCACTCCAAACAATTTGTACGGCGAACCAAACCTGTGTTCTATACTTTTTGAATTTTTCCCTAAAAAATAATATGAAGAATAATGCAACCAAAAAGCAAAACTGGGAAGAAAATAATTTTTTTTGGATATTTTCGGATGTGAAAATCTGCTGGAAATGGTCTCTATTTATAGGCAAGAAGGTGACCCTTCAGATCTATCCGAATAGGTATGAAAGGAATGAACAAGTGCAGTTCAAAATTTGAACAGATAACTGCAGCAGTTTCAAATCTGTTTGAACAAAAATTGAATCTGTTCGGTGCTAGCATTTTTGAATCTGTCTAGGCAATTCACAACTGCTGGGCATGGACCAACCAAGGGACTGTTTGGACTGAAAACATTAGCGCAAAAAATTAAATTAATTTCGTTTAGAAATTCAAATAATTTTCCCGCAAGAATCTGAAATAATTAATATTAGAACCAATCCACACGTGCGCCTGGCATGGGCCGTTGAATGGCGGTGTGCATGTGTGTGGTGGTTTGAGTCAAGGTTTACTTTATTCATAACTCCGTCCTTCTACAAACTTGGGATGCCCCTTGAGGCCCAACCCAAGTGTTGCCACCTAGAACTTATATGCACACATAAATTCTCTTAAGTTTCCAATGTGGGATAATCATTCAAGGAAACCTACATTTTATTTCTTGAATTGTTCATTCCACGAACTCGAAAACGACGCCAATTTTCTATTCACTCATAAATGGTTTTGATATACCGTCTTCACCGTGTGACTCGCCACACAGCGAGGAACACGTCACTTCTTTGAACCCACCTCAAAAGACGTATAGACCCCACTCAAATTTGAGTTCAAAGTTGACCCAAAATAAGCTTATAAAAACTATAAATTCCAACAGAAAACATGTGTACCCTCTAGGAAATTGGTCCCCATCTAGATGGTTGAGAAAAGTCCACTTTTCTAAGAAATAAAGAAATTTTTTATGTTGTGCTGGTCTAGGATAGGTTGAGTTTCACATTGGCCAATTTGATCATGATGTGATCCAGATGATTCTGTCTGAGAGAATAAACTGTTTTCCAGATTCAGGTAGTACCCAATGGCAGCAAAAGAGAACATCTGGGATAGAAGAAATTGATCAACAACTGGCAATGCAAGAATTTTATAATGTGAATAGGCTGTAATCTATATAAATGAATCGAGTCTATCGATTAGTAAGTTTTTAAGTTTGATTTGAATCATGAGTTTCAATATGTATTGTAATTTAATTTTTTTATGTAACAAGTCAATATCAAATGAATTTTTATCATGTGAAACTTGAGTAACTTAAATTTATTTATTTATTTTTATTTTTTTTACAGTAGATATAAAGTTATCAAGTTAAGTCATAATTTATTCATACTTAACATGTAAACTTAAAAAGATTTGAAATGTGTTGAAATGAATTTTTAACTAACGGAACGCGAATCAAGCTCAAACAATTTGATTTATTTTACCACTCTGAATGTGATCAACAACTAGAATGATGTAACTAAGTTCAATTTGGTCACTATTAAATTACTGGGAACATCCGATTAATGAAAAAATAACATAGTTCTCACTCGCATTCCATTTAAAAAATAACCTCCTTCCTTTCAGGTGTTTTTTAACTGGACAACACTACACTTGCTTAAAAATACAAGATCACTCTTGTAACGTAACAGTTATTTTCTCTGATTTACCAAAAAAGTGGGAGCCTTTTTCCGTAGTAAGCCTTTCCTTTCTTTTTTCATTATTTTCTTTTCTAATATTTTTTCCCATAATGCATGTCTCAGCTTAGACTCCGATTTCTGAAAATTCATACATAAAAAAAAGGTTTACTCTTTATGGCTTGTTCATTTCGGCAATTCTGTCAAATCCCATGTATACATAAGAGATGCAATGGGCTATAATCAAAACAAGTCACCAGTACAATTTTTATCCAAGTGATCATTGAAATATCCACTCAAGTTTAAATTTTTCATATTTATCTGGACAACATACCAATTCATAAGCCTTCCATGAGAGAGAGAGAGAGAGAGAGAGGAGGTAAAGTTTCAAGATTTACAACATATGGGAAGTTTTTGTACACTGCTTAAGGAAAACAGGAAAACATCAACAACAAAAAAAGAACAAAAAAGAGAGTATGGTCTTCCAGATTGATCCACCTTGGAAAACAATACAAGGATCAAAAGACAAACTAACCCTACAATGATATGCTCTTTGATCATTTCCTAAACCAATATCAACAACATTACTATCCCTACAAACATGGTCAAAACCAGGTTTCAGATTCCCCTAATACCTTTGCTAGCTTTTTGTATGACATTCCAGAGTCAGGACACAGCCACCCTTCGCTAAGGTATCTGCTGTCAAATTACACGAGACAACAATTTTTGCACACAGTTTTCAATGCCCCAATCTTCAGCTTAATAGCAGCACTCATCGATAGACCTTCACTTTCCGTTTTGAGTAGTTCATGTTCTTAATCTGTCGTTCTTAATCTGTCAAGGTAATGCAATTTTCGATCCATGGAAGACCATCTTGAAGACTGTCAAAGTTCTTGGGGCCTTGATCGAAAGTTAGGTATTTTCCAACAGCTATTTCTTGTTTTCTGAAAGGAGAGGGAAGCATTGCCACCTCGATTGTATACAATGTGTGCGTGCTGATGATAATGGAGATGAATATGCACCAGAAGCGGCAAGAACAACAATGCTGATGACCAGAAGTGGCAAGAACAATGATGCTGAAGACGTGGCTGGCCCTGCCGTTTGGCTATCAAAGCATGTTCAGGGCGTGGAACTCAATAAATTTGATCTTTGGGGAACTGGACAAGATATATTCCGGACCGAGTTACTGACTCAGACAGGGGAGTAAGGGGCCGCGGTTTGCATTCCTGGGAATCGAAATGGTTTGCATTCCATTCCCTAAATCAGCCTATGTACAATAAATTTAGAACACATGTTTCAAAGTAGTTTTGATGCCGCTTTCCAAAACAGAAGGGAACAAGATCTTCTATCGCAAATCCCTCTGTTCAAAACACTCGTAGCCGCTGAATTATACCTTGAAATTCCAACATAATCCAATAGTTGTAAATATTTTGAGATGTAAGCACAGAAGATCCAACTCGCAAAGCATCAAAATTCATCAAGAAATTCATAAAGGTCTCCAACCCTCGTCAGCACATGGGTTACATGGGAATCACAATAGTCAGTAGCATTCATCAGAAATTTATGAGGAAAATTTTATCAAACTTCATTGATATAAGTTGACATTCATCCAGTACCCACCATAACCAATAAGCCACAAAAATTCATCAAGAGTCAAAACACAAAAATAAAAAGCCACATGCTATCAAAACTCATTCCTCATGAACACTACAGCATCACAGTAATCAGCAGCATCATCTACAATTGTCATCAGAAAATTCAGAACATACCAACACCGACTTTCATCACAGTAGCATCACAGAAAGTAAAATTATTTACATAACAAGAAAACAGTGAAATTACTACAGTACCCTAAATAACAAGAAACCAGTAATATAAACAAGGCTGCAAAGAAGAGACCTAACCCTGAAAAGCTAGTGGAACCAGGACCAATGCAGCTATCGTCGTTCTGTTGATGGAACCAAAAACACCTGCAAGGATTCAACTAAAATTAAGTTTGCAATGCCAAAAAAAAGAAAAACCTAAAATTTGTAAGTAACAAACTATACAGTTTCTTTACCTGGCTAATAGCCATTAGCCATGCTAGATAGTAATAGTACTTCAACTTGGGCCTAGACTTGGGCTTGAGCTTGAGCTTGAAAAAGCTAAAAATAACATAACAGTCAACAAAAACAGTAAGAGTTAATTCATATTTTATACAAACTTTGCAATATAACTATATCAAAAATATTATTACCTGAGTTATACTGTTCATATTGCTCAACATCATCCATTGCTTTGCGAAGAGAGATTGGGATAGTGCTTTGAAGCCAATTTTGTGCACATATAAGAACCTCTACCATCATGGGAGATAGTGAACTACGAAATGGATCAAGTATACGTCCTCCTACACTAAATGCTGAGTCAGAAGCAATTGTAGAAACGGGAATCGCCAACACGTCATGTGCTACTTGGGACAAGACTCGATACTTTGAGGAATTAGTCTTCCACCATCCCAAGATATCAAAATTTTCTTCTATTGAACCAACACAACTCTCCGCTAAGTACTTGTCTACCTCAGACTTGCACAAAATGGAATCTTCCTCCTCCAAATACGAGTTGAATTGAGAGGCTACGAGCAAATGCGGATCATCACAATCATCATCAATCATCATCTCAGACGCTTCACTCACATTAGGCACTTCCACACTTGTTGAATCATGTGCACCATAATACTCGTATAAACGAGTTAAACAATCTTTTACACGACCTGTCATCTCATTTACCACTCCAGCCCCAAATAATTGTGAGAAACAGAATTTCACATACTTCAATTTTTTTCGAGGATCAAGCACCACAGCAACATATACTAGGAGATTTATTTTATCCCCATTCCCCCAATACTTGTCAAATTTTTCTTTCATGCTTTTTGCCATGGAAGACAAAAGTTGATCCTCTTTGGAGTCTTTCTTCACTAATTGTCTAATCTTGGTTTGAATCACAAACATCTCATCAAATAAACAATTAGAAGTAACATATAAAGACCCCAAAAACCGCCTAGTTGCATGATAGAAAAGCCTTAGGAATTTCACAAACATCCTACACTTATTCCAATCATCCTTAGTTGGAGGTCCCCATGTCTTCTTCCCCGTACCACTTCCCTCATCCCCACCCTCACAAACCTCATCATCCACAAAGTAAGATTGGTAATTGGAGTCCTCCTCCAACAATCTATCAAATGCCTTTTCAAACTTTTCAGCGGCTTCCAACATTAAATAGGTGGAGTTCCACCTAGTTGGTACATCGAGGCACAAAAGACTTTTTGACTCAATTTTTTCTTTCTCTACACACTTTTTAAAATTCTCTAGCCTATTTGGAGAAGACCTCACATATCTTACAGCATCACGTATAGAACCAATAGAGGTATCTAATTCTTTCAAACTATCACCCACTATGAGATTTAAAATATGTGCACAACAACGCATATGTAAGAACTCATGCCCGAAGATGGTCCCCTTCCAAGTTTTTGTTTTATTCTTCAAGAACTTAATGATAGTGTTGTTGGAACTAGCATTATCTACTGTCAAGGTAAAAATGCTATCAATGTTCCACTCAAGCAAGCACATCTCAATTCTTTTACCAATAGTTCCTCCCTTATGATCTTCAACTTGACAAAAATTTATGATTCTTTTTTGTAATTTCCAATCATCATCAATGAAATGTACAGCAAGACACATATAATTTATGTTTTGTATTGATGTCCATGTGTCTGTGGTAAGGCAAACCCTACGACCCTTCAATGCTTTCCTCAAGCTATCTCTCTCCTTGTTAAAAATGACAGCAACATCTTTAGCAATAGTAATACGAGATGGGATTGTTTTGAACTTAGGTTGCAAGACATTGCAAAATCTTTTAAAACCAATTCCATCCACAAATCTAAAGGGCAATTCATCAAGAATGATCATCTCGGCAAGAGCTTTTCTACTAGCTTCTTCATTAAAGCTCATTGCCTCAAGGTCAACACCCTCTTCTCCATCTTTTTTAGGTTGAAAAGACAAGGTTTGTTGTCCCCTCTCTAGTTCCCTATAAGGATATTTTTGACAATTTGCCGAATGACTCAACAAATTACTTGTCCCATGACCCTTAGAATCAGCTAAATATTCCTTTTGACAATATTTGCAAATAGCCCTAGTTTTTCCATCCTCACCCTTTAATTTATCAAAATGATCCCATGCCCTAGATTTTGCTCTCCCACTCCCACTAGCCCTTTCACGCACCTTAGCTATGGGTGCTATTGGAGTCCTCTCAGTCAGGGTATTAGGTTGGGCATTAGTCGATGGTTGAGTTCCAACAGCTGGGCAATCTTCATTGGGAGGATCCATCATCTGGTAAAAAGACCATTTTAGCAAATCAACACCTCACTAACTATATGAAATTTATCACAATAACATAAATGGATAAAGAAATTTAAGCAACATAACACATTAACAAACACAGACCTATCAATCATCAGTCGCATAACAGCAGCATATTAATTGAAATAACAAAGGCACAATTTTAAACAACAACATTAATTGAAAGCAATATAGAAACTAAGCAAGAAAGCTACATCAACACTTACTATTAAAACTAGAAAGCTGTATAAAAAGTAACTAAAAATCAATGAGTTAGAATTAGAAACTAGAATCACAGGCCCATCAGTGAAACAAGTTATTTGATCAATTCTCATAAATAAAATCAGAAAATCGAAACTGAACACAAACATCTCAATTTCTCACAAATATAGCCAGTTAAAGAGTTGCTGTGTTGAGCAATGTAAGTGAGGGAAAAGCCCCAAGTCTTGGAAAATCTTGGCTTTGAGCTTGACAGGGTTGGTGATTTGATCACGATGATCTTTGAAAATCACTATACCCGAGAAATGAAAGTATTCAATCGAGCCCTTCTGGGTTTTGGTGGAAGAAGAAGATGAAGATATGGGGTTTGAAGAGATTCGAACGATTAGGGTTCTTGAGAGTGAGATTAGACACTTGTGTGGCATAAATACATAGTCATTTTTCTGAGATGCAATATATATGATATATACACACAATTACATGCTAAAATCACAGTGAATAGATGAAGACTTGCCTGCGATAATCGCAGATTCAAAGGAAGAGACATTTTTTTGTGATAAAAGAGTCGTTCAATTCGATCGATTCAAGACCAGCCTTAGACCTGTCGAGAGGTTTTTTGCACTTGCTTCCGGGTATTCGCAGGTGTTTTGAGAAATGGTTGATTTTTGATTTTTAGTTAAGTTTTTGTTTTGGTTTTTTAAAAATGTGATTTGAGATTTTTAGCCCTTTTTTTTTATTATTTTTTATTATTATTATTATTAATATTTATTTATGTCACATTATATTTAAATGACTAAAATACTCTCACTTAAAGATTTTGTCCTAACTCACCAATGTAAACATAAAAAGTATAACCATAATTTCACCGGTAGCTTTTAATTACTGGGGAGAAGTGATTTAGAAATATTCTTGGATCCTAAAAGACGTTTCTGATCCTCTAATTGTCACCTGAAAAAGGGATTAACATTCCGATCGGGGGTGTTGAAATTAGCACTCTGACGGACAAGTTAGTATACGTCTCTCGTTTACTTATGTCTTAAGTTTCTTTAGTCTGTTCTCACATACCTCTCTTTAGTTGATACTTCTCTCTTTTATACTCGTCCCTTGTCTCGGGGGTCGAGCCCACTTTTAATCCAGTGTATAGCTGCTCACTCGGCCATTTTGTTGTGTGCCTATTCACATTCGGCTTCTTGTACGTCTGATTCTACGGCCGATTTAACTATTCAGCTTCTGGGTCCCCTAGGATGGAGCCGAATAGTATATATCCGAATTTTCTTCAGATTCATTTGGTTTTTCTACATATGTCATTATTCGACTTCCACAATTGCCCTCGAACATCTTACTAATGCCAGTTAGTCGGCATGTTTGGTTTTGAACTTAGAGAGTGAAAAATACGGCGACTTCCCTCATTCCAACACAAGTGTCAGAACGTTTACGCTTTTTAGGAATCATTATAATTTTTCGCCCCTTCGTACGCTTCATTTATTTAATGCGATTTGAAACTGTGTTGTCCCTTCGAATGTGTTTTTGAATACGTAAAGCTTCTTGGTTGCCTGTCAGTTTGCCTTTTTCATTTCACGACCTCTGTAATTTCTTCTCGTTCCTCACTGTCTCCTCTAGTTCTTGTAAGTTCTTCTCTTCTCCATTTCGACTATCATTTCCTTGTTTGTTTTTTAGTTTAGCGTACTTCCTATGCTAGCTAGGATGGCGAAACATCTAAAAGCCCTTCTTTCTGGGGATCGAGTTTCTGGATTTCGACGCCATTTTTTCATTCCTGGCGACGTCCATCTGTCACTAGTGGTAGAGAGCGTAATTGACATGAAGAGGACTGATGAGAGTACAATTATCTTTCCTCTCTTGTCAATCGCTGAGGGTAGAGTCCGGTTCCCCCTTCACCCGTTTTTTAGGGCCGTCATTCGTCACTGGGGTCTAATCCCTTTCCAGCCTAACGTAAACTTCTACCGAATCATAATGGGAATTGTAGAATTAAACTGACGCCTTAGGCTCAATCTTAGAATCCCTGCTATTCGGCATTGCTATACCTTGGTCAAATCCTCTGGCCGGTAGGGGTGCTACTTTCTCAAGGCTAAGGACACCGACCATCATTTAGTGACTATGCTTGCCAGCTCTGGCAAGCGTGTTGACGATGTCATGGTCGTTGTCCGAGGCAACTGGGAATTCAGCGAGGGCAAAGATCGCCTAGATCTTGTGCCTAGACGAAAAGGCGAACCAGGTGGCCGCATAGTCCTTCATGTGTATTTGTTATATATTTATCCGGCTTAGATTCTATGCACTTACCATTTTATTTACGCAGGTAACGATTTGAAGAAAGTTCTGGTCTCGGCCGACGACGCTGTACTTGCGCATATCAAAACCACGCTCCAGTTCTTCAGCCGTCCAAACCTTCAAAAACAAAGGAGGGCAGCCCCCATACTTCTAAGTTATAGCCAACTTACGCTACGTCTTCGGCCGCAGATAACATTCCGATTCCAAGAGGCGAACAACAGCTTACGACGCTTATTTTCCCAAACTTCAAAAATCTTAGGGAGATTGGACTTAAAGCTTCAGATTTAGAGTCGGCGAACGAATAAATTGCTGAAAAAGTCGCTAAGCAGCCGAATCAGTCCACCTTAGACATATCCGATAGTCTTGCTGAGGAGGTTGACGCGGCTCTAAATTTGGTTTTTGAGGAAGCTAGTCTCAATCAATCCAACCCTCCATCCACTTCAGGCCAAATAGACGTGTCCCTTGAAGATATTTTTACCGACTTAGGGGACCTTCCCAGCGCATATCCTGAAAACATGACTGTGGGGTCGCTCACACATATGGCCAGGAGGAAAAACGCCGAGAGGATGGTCGCCTGGAGAAAAGCCGAAGCCAACTGATCTGAACCTCCACCGGTTGCCAGGGCTAAGTCTTCTCCACCTGCTCCTGTGGAAGAAACGGCTTAGATTGAAATGGTCAAAACGGAGCACATTGTCGATCAACAGGGCAGTTAGGAGGCCGAGCATAGGGGGGAAAAACGTCCTGCCGAGCACGAAGTCGACTTTGCAGAAAACCTAATCGATAAACGGCCGCGCATAAAAGAATCGGACTTGGTTATGCCGTTTATCATACAACCGACGATAAAGAACATACCAATTGCTTCTGATGCATCGGCTGTGAAAGACCCTGCTGTGGCCTTAAGCATGGCCTTTTCAATTTCCCTGCCGGTTGACAGAGAACCTTTCGGACGGAGCCAGATTTGCTGTTAATAGCATTAGCCGCTCAATCGGCCATATTGGTATATGACTTGAGCCTTGTCTGCAGTCTTGCGCCTATATTTTTTATTTTTATTTTTTATTTAACTGTAATTCCTTGTTTTGCAGACAACGGGATAACTGAGATTGGCCACCGTCAACATGATGCTATCGAACAGATCGGCTTTCTCACAGTCGAAGTTGAAAATGAAAAGAGCAAAGCCGTGGAGGCCTCTCTCAGAGCCGAGTCTGAGGCAATGAAAGCGGCAGAAGAACGCTTGAGGGCCGACGCCAAGGCAGAAAAGGCCAAGAGTTTCGACCAACTCAGGTTGGCTACCAAAGAGAGGGTGAATACGAGCGACGATGTGCTCAAGTTAGCCAAGGAGGCGATTGCCAAACTGGAGACTGATTTGGAAGCATCGAAGAAGGCAAAGAAAATAGCCAACTCCGAGATTTCCAAAGCATTCCAAGCTAGGAAGGATGCCGCCTTGGAAAATTATGTGGAGGAAGTACCCAAGTTTGAGAATCGGGGCTTCAAACACAGCTGGCTCAAAGCCCTCGCTACCTCTAATGTGACATTGGCGCAGCCGATCCCATACGAGCAGGTGGACGTTAAGCCGCTGGAGTTTGACCTTGAAAATTGACTAGAGAGTAATTTTGATTTTTGTTAGGCATCTTGTGAGCATAGTTTTTGTAGATTTTTGTTTATTTATTTATTTCGATTAGAAGTTAAATGTAGGGTAATTTTTATGTGTAAAATGACTACTGTTTGTACTTGATTTATTAATGAAAATTTCCTTTGCCTTTTTGGCTGTCTGCTGTATGTGCTAGTTAACGGCTAAGTAGAATGAAAAATCATGAAATAAGTAAATTAATTCGGCGATAAAATAACTACGTATCTTTGCAATTTAGCCGAATATATTAATGAATCTATCCTTACCTCAGCTAATGAATGAACTGGACCGCTGAATATTGGTAGTTCATGGATTGGCTGGGGCATATCCACTTAGCGGCACAAAGCTTTGAAATTTAGCCGAATAGATTGATGAATCTGCCCTTGCCTTAACTAATGAATGAACCGGACCACCGAATATCGGTAATTCATGGATTGGCTAGGGCACATCCACTTAGCAGCGCAAAGCTTTGAAATTTAGCCGAATAGATTGATGAATCTGCCCTTGCCCCAGCTAACTGGACCATCGAATATCAATGTAGCCGAGTAGATTGATGAATCTTCCCTCAACTAATGAATGAACTGGACCGTTGAATATCGGTAGTTCATGGATTGGTTGGGACATATCAACTTAGCGGCGCAAAGCTTTGAGGTTTTGGCACAAAGTATTGAAGAAATCGCCTCGAGAATGCTGCACCCGAAGTTAATAAATGGGGTGGGGGCTGTGTGCGAGTAGGTTCCATTTTTGCGTTCAAATCTAACAAATTGTGAAAAGGAAAAAAGCATTGTGTCGAACCAAGTTGGACGACTGTGGATGGCAAGAAGACTATTCTTCAACAGCAGAGAGAAGAGTAGGACACTGGCGGAACTGGACGCAGAGATGAATCGAAGTGGCGAGCCTACGCACACGGGGAGTATGACGTCGAGGGAACGTGAGAAGGGTTACTCCCCACGTCGTCGAAGCAGGTCACCCAACAAGGAGAAGCAGCAATGAGGTAACTCCCCTCGTTCGAGAGGAGAAACCAGTGGGCCACCGTGCCCGTTGAGTTTTTCGGTCTTCGTTGGGAACAAACCAATGATGGAAGTGGATTCGATTATCCGCAACCTAAATGTGGCAGTCGAGTTCGCTCGATAGATTTTTCCACCAGAAGTCCAGCAATCGATGGTCGGCTAGGCTGATTATGAAGTTTTTCGAGAGGGCGTCCACGGAGCAGTAAAGGGGTAATATACCTCCTATGAAATCGGTATGCGTCTTCATGTCGCGCGAAGAGAGATAGAGCAAAAGGACTGTCCCATTCGGAGCTTGCAAGCTTGCGCAGAGAAGGTCAAAAATGAGCTGAAGAAAACTAACACCTCTGAAACTCAGTCGGCGAGTTAAGTGAACCTGGTTGCCGCAGAATGAGTAAACCGGCGAATTTTGGATCATGCGATTGCTCACCGAGAAACGGCGAGCATGTTCGCAATAGAAGCTGTGAAGACCAGGTCCTATGAAGAAGGCTTCCATGACAGCCGAAAAATTGAAATAGACAAGACGAAAGAAAAACTAGCTGAGGAAGTCTGTCGATGCGAAAATCGTAGATTTAAGCATAGATGGATCAAGGCTCTCTAGGCCGCGAGCGTTGATTCGACATTGCCTTTATATCAGAGTTATACTTTTTCGTTTGAGGCTTTCGATGCTGAGAAGACTGATGACGGCCGAATAAATTATTTTTTTTTATATTGTTCCATTTTTTATGTAAATCATGTATTCACGATCTATTTAATGAAACATTTTA